TTATCTGCGTCCGTGGTATTGTGCTCTGCTGCAAGAGCACTGTTCAGCACGCTTCCTTCGCCATATGACATTCTGTCCACGGCCTGGAGCTGGAGCTCAACTTACCGACGAGGGTGCACAACAGCTGTATTACGAACAAGCGAGTTAGTGCGTGCGAGTGTTCAAAAGATACAACGGCCTCGCGCAATTTAAAGGGCACTATGTGATATTGATCCAAACTCTATACTAGGCGCTTAGCGAACACACATCAACATTGCTCGCACTTATATGAGAAGCCTGAATGCTAGTCACATACGGTCATACATGAACACTCATCGGCTTTTGCTATAATGATTGAACGATTGACTCGCCTGGATGCCCGCGGGCTTTCCTATTCAAAATTTGGTAGCGTGTGATGGTTCCCGTATGGTTCAGGCATTGTAGGTTACGTCCGGGTAGGTAACATTCCTGGCTGATACAAATACGCTCATTTGCACATTAACCTCGGTTTAACATGGGACACAACTGAGCTCAGAAAAATCTCTCATGTATACTGGTCACTTCCAACTGGATGGGGAGTTAAACCCCATTTAGAATTTTTTAATTTTGATTTCGTTCATCCCTCTCGGGGCGCAAATAATTGGCGGTGTTGTTAGTGTCCCAATGTTGAATTACCCAAATATTACAGCACCCAAAGTTTGCTAGAACACCACACGCATGGTTATGAAAGATGACGCAGTCAAAATACCCGGGGAAGCAAAATTTGGATTTGCGTTTGGTTTCTTTAGACTTCGGTGGCACTGAAGAATTTATTCAGAGACCTCGCGAAGGAGGCTCTGGATGCGCCCAGATAGGATCTCCAAAGGATGACTTGGTCGCTGGGGTGGCTGCACTTGTTCTTTCGTAAGCCTGCCTTGATCTAATGGAAATTACAAAATTTGTGGAACCGCTTGCAGCATTTATTTACAGTTGCGTGATAGTCGCTGTGTATGCAGGAAAGTTCAAGAAGATGCGGATATTTTTCTTCCTAAAAACAAGGTGCATGTGAAGGCTTTACTTTCCTGACTCAGCGTCTGTATCTTTTTAGCCGGTGATTCCCAATTTACAACTCCGCTGGCCGAATATTGTCGTGCACTTGTTCCTTCTGTGGCGCTGTTCCGGTCGTCTAGACTTTCAGGCCTATTGGGCTGGTCGAATGTTGCTAAGTCATGTTTATTGAGAGCCGCCAAAGCAACGAGATAAGTTACCCCAATGCTTGGTTAGAGTTATTTGCTGCATCCTGGAAGGTGGTTCACACTGAAATGCACAAGTTTCTCGAAAACTCTTTCTTACCATCAGACTTTCCTTGATTGAAGACCCTGTTGCACACCCAAACACTCGTTTGCTGATTGATTCGTTGTGGATTTACACACATTAGTTTACATCAGCTTCGGTTGTGAGGTGATCGATAACACAAATACGTAATAGGTAAGTTGCTCGCAGTGGCCATGTCTCACGGAAATGCTGCAAACCAACACGTATGGAAGCGTGACACAAATTCCGTGAGATTCGTGGTTATGCCGCCACGCATTTCTAGATGTGGAAAAGTGACTAAGATTTCACAGATTGATGGCTTCATATTCTCTATCAAACTACAATGTGAAGTCACGCAGGAGATTTAAAGTTTGGAAACCGCGAACTCCTGTTGACGCGGAGCTCCACACACAACCCGTACATGCTTATAAAATAAATATGGTTAAAGCGGAAGACGAGAACACCACAACAAACATCCCAAAACAATTTATCTAAATTTACTGCCTGACTACATATCCGTGCACGCCGGAGGGAGAATAGTCTACATAGGCACCTCTACAGCCCCTTTATCTTCTAAATCCCTAAAGGAAAAACTGGCATTATCGATCCAGAAAATGGAGTACTAATATAATCGCAAGCATGGAGCAAAAATGCTATATTTTGTCAACGCGCAAACTGTCGTAAACGCTTAATACTTCGGCGAATGAGAAATGAAATCTTTGATGTTCATGTGGATTCCAAGACGTGCGCTTGTCATGCAAATCATTTGAAAGAAGTTTAGCCAGAGTTTGCTCGGAGTTCAATCAAAATTCGTCCAGTAGTTGAATTGGGGAGGCACCGTACATCTGGTCCACCTTTCTCGATGTTTGCTTGCACTTTTATTCTCAAGAAACAGCCCCTGGACCTACAGGATATTGTTCCAAGCACCCAAACACTATGCTCCTTACACGCCTATGTTTGTCGAGCTGACGCAAATGCATAAACTGGCATGTATTAGATGAAGAAGCCCTGAATAATCCTGAGTGAGTTGAAATGTGAAACCAAAAAGTTATCGTTGGGTTTGGAAGAACATGTCTCTCTTTGAAAGGGCCAACTTCTACTCATGAATCGTATGAAATCTTGCTCATCATGAAATATGTTCACGTTCATGGTGTTCTTTCGTAGGACGCGGTATCTTCCGAGAAAGAAATTCAACCAATCCTTGAATGAATGAGTGTGCGGTTGAAGAATGTGACTTTCAATCTGGAGTTTACTAGATGGATGACGGAATAGGGCGAAAATGCCGTTTACATGGCATTTATCTGGTAGCATAAATTTAGACTTTGGTTCGAACAAGTCTTTTCACAAAAAAATTTGTCCACAGTCACATTGGTTCGCAATTCACGCCATCACCGAATGTTATCACATCACTGAACTTTGTCTACCGTTCCACTGCCAAACCGCTGTACACTTTATGAAGCACGATAAAGGATGACGTCAGTTGGTGCAAAATGGAGCTCACGCCATTTAAGGATAGTCTGATGCACAATAAACAGTATGATTTTACCTGTGAACTTGAATTCTCTCACGGTACCACGCTGCGACATGACGTTTTCCAAAGATAGCCGACGAGCACAGTTTTAGCGTAGCCTGGAAAACAAATGATGAGCTTCAACTTCGGAACCCATTGCATAGCATGAGAGATCTCGGCTTACATCATCGTTGAGAAAATTAAGGTGATAGAAAGTTTAACGCGGATTTGTGCGCATCCGTTGAGCGAAGAAACTACATTCTAAAGCGTCTACCCAGTGAAAGAACAGTGCCGAATTTCGCAACTCAGGACTTCGACAGGAGATGCGATGCTTGAACAATGCCACATAAAAACTCCGAGGAATTTATTATCTGTTTGAGCTATGCCCACCGACGGCTTGTAGATTCAAATCCAGGTATTTTCAAAAACACTCATTTGAACATAGAACTCTTTTGTGTAAAATTTTAGAAACGGGCGTTATTTATTCGAAACCTTGTATTCTCTCGCAATCATTGCGGTTACTTGGAAATTTTTTGAATCAAACTCAAAATGGAACGCTGCAGGATATGGCCGCTAATTGTTCTCACTCGCAATCTTGTTCTCAGTCACTCTCAAGTTTGCCTGAAATAATGCTTGGAGATGCGGGCAACTGAGAATAATTTTAGCGAGCTAGCACCATGTCCTTTCATATACTAAATTTATTGATTTTTCACAGCTAAGTACTGCAGCAATATTTGTTTCTGTTCCGTTTTGAAAAAAGTGCGGTTCCACACAAAGCCGAGCACGGTGAATCAAGTGGACGCATGATGTTGATTCCCCCTGTGAATCAACGGTGAACAAGGGTAACTTTCTTTGTTTTCTGACTACTCATGAGTAACATGACTTACACCTGTTTTTTATGACGCCGTTTCGTTTTCTTGCTGCTCGTTTCCCCCCCGTTTTTTTTCCTACTTAAGTGAGTGATGTCAATATTTTTTGCCCGCATGTCATTGCCTGCAAGTTCGCCTCGATTGCACCTATTTTTTGAGCGCCCACTACGACGGAAAAGCGAGCTGACCGGGTATCGAATTCGGATCCTCCGGATGGAAGGCGAATGGGCGACCGATCACACCAGCCTGACGCCTATGACGCTGATTATCTTGTATTACCCACGTATCGCGCCTGCCAGATAACCCTTCCTGAGCTATGTTTAGACGGACGAAACCGCGCAATCTGACATGTCACGCGACACGAAGGGCTGCGTCGACGCCGACCGGAGGACAGTCCCTCACATCCAGAACGTATTTACTCCCGCGCCGTTGCGGCCAATTCACGCTGTCAGACTGCCCTATATGTATGTCTGTACATCGTTTGGTACCTACTTGCTGTTGCCCCCATAGAAATCCGAGCTGCGCCAGTGACTACTTCCCGTTCCTGCTGATTGCGTCATTGTTGATTGTACGTTTTCTTAATTCATG